TATTAACATTTACATCTGCAGACTTGATGATACTTTATTATTGAGTTAATAACATTTATAAAGCTGATTCAATGCATATTAGATAGTGAGATACAAATGAGCATTTATTAACGAATTACTTGCATTTGATTATTACCAAATAGAAAGCTTCAATTCCAGCCAATGGGATCTTCTAAAACCTGGCAACCTAACATCTGTTCTTATTAGTGGTTTTGGGATGATATATAAAGCAGATCACAACCTACTTTAGATCTAAGCTAAAGGATTTAAAATGATAAAAACCATTAGTAACAATTCTCTACATATCAATAATTTAATATTAATTCCTCGGTTTTTCCTGCTGGATCCAGCGGTTTTGCAGCTGGTGTGGACTCCAGGATCGTACTCCAGGTGCGGCTGCGCTGCACAGAGGGCTCGGTGAGGTGGATATACCCGGGCCAGGCTCTCCGGGTGGTCCTGGAGCCCAACCTGTCCTCCACCCTGCGCACCACCGTCTGCATCAAACCGTCTCCCTCCTTCCGCGGAGCCAGCGTGTTCATTGAACGGGCCGGGAAGCTGGAGCTGCTGGTGACTGATGGCGGGCGGGACGAGCGGCAGGTGTTCTGTTTCCGGGCAGATGGTCCGCACAGGCCCGCCATCTACCTTCAGTCCAGCCCGCAGACCGATGGAGCCTGGAGCAGACGCACGATGGGCTTCAGATATGAGCTGCTGGCCAACAGGAGTGCTGCACCCAACCTGGGCCACAGCGGGCTTCAGCGTGAGTAGACCCTCTATGTCCTAAATAAAGGTGCATTCATACATCTGGTACCACTAAGGCAAAGTATGGGTTGTATTAATAAATTATACCTTATTAACTAAAGCTTTATCGATCGGTTATAAGCTATTAACAAGGTCCGTTTTTGGGTTGCCAGGTTGCTTCCTTCTGGAGAGGCAGAGGATCGTGACCAAAATCCATTTATTAACAACATATTACGAATTTGTTAGAAAGTACCTCTAATTTTGGTTCATGAAGATCAGTCATAAATAGATTAATTTATAAATTTTTAATTTATACATACTCATCAGAATCAGAAATACTTTGTTGTCTTAGGAAGTCTTGGTTAATTAATGGTTAATAAATAATTAATAGATTAGTTATAAGCTATTAATGTAGCCCACTTTTGGGCAGGTTAATCCCTCATGACTTTATGACCACCTTAAGAAGGAGTCCAGAGGATCATGACCAAAATCCATTGATTAACAATTTATTAAGCATGTATTAATCATTAATGACGTGCCCTACCAACAGGTATAAGTGCTTAATTACCCAATAGAAATTATACAGATCAAAAGTCGGGATCTTTCTCTTATTAATGGTTTATAACTGCTAAAGCATGAGTGTGTGCTTATAAACCATCAGTTAACTTATGAACCCTTATAAAGGGGGCCTTAATAGAAAATGGCACCAAATATTCTAATATAATTCTAAAGCCATTTCCTGGAGTCTGAGGGACTGACCAGTCCTAATTCATAAAAGAAAGTAGTAGTTGTTTAATTACAGACCCCAATCATGCTGACTGGAGCATGCAGCTGCTGGTCAGTCTCGTGTTTGTGTGGCTGTCTGGTTTCCATCGGGGGACAAAGCAGTGAGCACAGAGCAGACCGCAGGACTGCTGAAGGGCACCGGGCCAAGGGGCCCGAATTGAGACCGCAAATACTTTGCAGATTCCACAAATGCCTTTTCATTGTCCGAGTCTGTTTATTAGCATTTATCCATGTGTGCGGGCCTTTCCCAGTGTGGTGATGTCATTCTGTGTCCATAATAGACAGCTGCTGGTTTATCTATTCTGCATTGCCAGATTGGCAGAAGTGTTTGACTCCTGCAGTCTCCTGCGTTGGCATAGGGTCATTCAATAAGGTAGATACAATAGGAGTCAAACACAAGGTCAAGACCAGTAAGGTTTTTTTTTATCTGGAGGCGGTTTAGGAGCAGCATTCCTTCATCTAACCCCGGTTTCTCAACTCTTTGATGTGAGGAGTGAGATGAATGGAGCCGGTATGTGTGTCAGATTTTAGGTCAGTGAAGTAGCAGGGAGGAGTGATACCCATCAATCAATGTCTAGTCAAAGAGCTCTGGGTAATGGGAGAGGGGGATTATGACTGGGAGAGAAAAGTGAGAAAATTATACCTGACAAAGTGATTTGATGCAGGGTTTCATCATTTTAAATGTCATCGTGCTATGTGGCAAAAAACAACTACCTAATTTTCTGTACTGATTTTCTCACCCCACAGCTTCATGCAGACCCTGCAATGACACAGAACTCCTCATGGCCATCTGCAACAGTGACTTTGGTGAGTTAATATAATCTTGCAAACCCAAATCTGTTACTTACTGTACTATATAAACACAGTGACAGAGCACCATTCAATTAGGAAGAAAATAACAAGCTGTAAAGCTATGTAATCTAAGGTAGTCGCAAAAGTGTTTTTAGTTTAAGGAACCTCTGTGAGACAAATGGTGAATGTGACCGGACATAAAAGGTCCTGACATATATGTTTTCAAACAGCAATTTTGTACATCAATTTAATTGTTTTACATAGAACTAATATACCACTTCCTAGTTTTTCCATTTCGTCTGAATTTATTTAAAGCAGCAACAAAGAGCTTTCTTTTTTTTTTATTCTGGTGGCTCCTGTGGGCAGTGTTTCCACCAACTTGTTTAATTGATTTCAAGGGGAATCCAGTCAAATCCGACCATGTGGAATCCATTAAGAATAATTATATAGAAACAGGAAATCTTCTTGCTGATGGTCTTTATGTAGGTCATATAGACGCATCAGTAGTAAATTGAGACTCTTTCACAACCAGTTAAAACTCCTTGTAGTAGATTTAAGTAGTAATAATATTGTAGTTTTTACAACATTTTTTTTTTTACAACAAGTAAATAAAATTAGCTCCACCTGAACGAACATTTACAACACAAAAATGTTCTTTACAAAATGTTGCATCACATCATTCTGAGTACTTTTACATTAGATTCTTTAAGTGGTTTGCTGATAATACTTTTGTACTATTACTTACGATATTAGATTTTGAATACAATACAGAACTCCACCACTGGTAAATCTTACTGATACAAATGTTAAAAGCTGCTCTCATGGTCTAGTGTCTGCCCAGTAAGCAGCAGCTCTGCTGGCAGTCCAGAGGAGGTCATGTGGGACGGAGCTGCAGAATGAGAGGGACCATTAGAGCAGATGCAATGGGTCCTCTGGGCTAAATGGGCCAAAGGAGAAAGAAAATATAATTTCTAGAAAACTACTAAGATTTGGAGGGAATATTTATATGCAACTATAGTCCAAAGCCGTGTTTTTTTTGCAGATTTTTCATTAGATTTTCTTAATGGATGCAGTTTATGGATATCTGCTCTTTGTTCTTTCAGTGGTCCGAGGCTCCATCAAGAATGTCTCCCACAACTCTGCAAGCCAGACATCGTTGGTGGAAGTGTCAGCAGTGCGAGTGTACTGGCAGCGCAGTGGAGTGTTTGAGTCACAAGCGGCTGCCTCTGGATCATCTCGACCAAACAAGTCTTGGCGTGGACACATCTACACACTCTTGCAGTGCCATGTGAAGCCTGGGGACGGAGAGTTTCTCTTCACAGGGTCAGAACACTTTGGGGAAGCTTGGTTGGGGTGTGCCCCACGATACAAAGACTTTCTGTCCGTCTACCAGACCGCCTGGGCGGCACGTCGGAATTCCTGTGACTTCCCTTTAGACTGAGGAAGTGTGTTGTTTTAGCACCACTGAGCACTACCCGTCTCTATCCACAGGCATCCTCACCCTTCTACTGGCACTGTGGGATCCCTGTATATGGTTGTCATGTGCCAGCAAGGTGGCATCTAGCATCACCAGCAGGGACGAAGCTGTTGAATTGCTGGTAAAAAGACACATTTGGAGGAGCAGAGCAGGGGCACACAGCAGGCCCTCCTGCACTGAGGCTCACAGAGGGCTGGCCTTTGTCTCTCTCCCATCACTGCTCTCAGTCCTGGGAGACTAAAGGGGTTGGGTTGCTGCTTGCTTTCTCTTTGTGCTTCTCCCAGCATCAACCGTCGTTCACTTTGCTGGCTCTGTGGGACAACTGCCCTCTGAACTGAGGTGGGAGGGTCAGCTAAAGCACAGCCATTTGTAACCCACAGTTTGTCTTAGTGAATAGGCTTGTACATGTTATTTTTATTCTGATTTATCTGTACTAAAGTTTCAAATCCTCTTTGCTTTTTCTATTTATATGTGCTGTACAGTACACATGACCTTTGAATTAAATGATTTTGCAGCAGGATTATTGTATTTGTAAAGCAAAATAAATCCTCTGAAGACTCTAGTAGTATTAGTGATATTTTGTGGCATTTTCAGATAAGAAATGAGCAAAATTGTTTTTATTTACTCCATGAAATCTTTTAGTAATGGAGACTGTTGGTGAAAAGCTTAGTCTGGCTTAGCTTTGACTGGACAAAATGAATAAATAATAAATAAATAAAAAGTTAATGCACATCCCCTTTTTGATTTACCCATTTATCTTGACTTCAGGCTGTTTTAACAAACTATACAAACATGAACATTTGAATGTGGATATGTGGCTTACAACATGACCAATACAACGATTATTATTGGATAAAAAAAATCCACAATTCATATTATGCTTGTTGTAGAAATAATATAAATAAAAAATAAAATTGTAATTTTGCAGATTTCTTTTTTATTCTAACAGAAAATCTGGTCAGTACATGTATCTGTAAGCCTGATGAAGTATTTAGAAGTGAACAAAGCTCATGAACAGTGCATAAAAATCAAAATTTCATGAGGTCCTCCAGTTAATAAGAACGCTCTGGCCCCTTAAGACTCTCTCTCTGCTCTTTTTGATAGCTGGCTTCGTAAAGGCTTAAATTAACTTAGACCCCCATTTCCCATCATATGCTGCATAATCTCTGGTTTTTCAGGAGAATGGGACTTAGAACTGAAGTGTCCTACAAGCTTATTTTGGCCCTTTTCCTTCTGTGTCCCATCTTTTCCCCTGGTAATCAGATTCTTATGATAATAGGATAGCCCTACTATAAAATGAAATACAAAATCTTCTTAGATGGCCAGAGGTCTGAGCAGACTGAATTAGACATTTCTTTTGAGTTGTGTGGCCCTTGCATCATAGCCTGAGAAGACAAATGGACAGATGTGAGGCCCCAAAGCCTGGGGATCCTCCCCCTCGGCCCCTCCCAGAAGAGGGGAACAATTAATTGACTTTTAAAGCAACTGCTTTCTTAGCCTATTCCACACTTCTCCTTGGCTGAGCAGGGCTCACAAATTGGTGTGTTGAACTTTTTATGAGGACTAAATAGCTGCCAATGAAAGTGTAAATGACTGCGTGGTGAATGGGCCCCATACAATAGCCCTGCAGTGACAAGGCCTCAGGCAGACATAATGACCATTGTCACGGCTGCTGTCATCTAGAAACCATCAGGGCTCATGAATCCATGAAGCTAGAGGAGGGGTGATCCCTCTTTTACTCTCACTCAGTTCACACTGAGTGAGAGTAAACACACTATATTCATCTATATTTTTGTATTTTTCTCTTTAATGCTCTGTGTGTATGTCTTATCTTTCAGTTTCAGTTAAACTTGATTTTAGATCAATACAATTCACATAGATATCACAAAGTTATCCAAGCAAAAAAAAAAAGAAAAACATACTTCTGGACTATTTATGTTTATGTTTCACTGCATCTTATTATAGGTAAACGATAAATTAGACAAATTATACTACTGGCAAAGCTTTAGATCAATTTTAAACATCACTAGTAAACCAAAAAAATCTTTGTATGTATGTAAGACATGGTTAAAGGTTGCAAAAAGAGCTTATTTTGATAAATGGTTCCCAAAAATCGAGCTCTCCACAAACTTTTTTCATCGTACAGAAGCCCAGTTTGAAGTCTCCTCCCTCTGTATTGTCCCAGGGGGCCACCATGTCAAATTTCCAAGCAAAATATAGCCTCTCTGCAGGCTTTTGAGACCACACAATTCTCATCTCTGGGAATTCCAGCAGGCTCTCATGGGGAACGAGCCCAGGAGGGCTCGGCCCGGAGCTGCTGCGCAGTGCACCGGCAGGAGTCCACCCAGACTGGGGGGTAATTGGTTTATCCCACTGCCTGGCCCGCTTTCCCATGTGGGCCACTGCTGCGGGGAGGCCCAGGGGTACAATATGGAAACAGCATGATACCCTCCAGTGCCGAACAGGCATTCACTATTGCGGCTATAGAGAGCAGGCACAGGGTACCAGGAACACAAAGCTGAAGCAGAGATGTCTCTCGTCTTTGAAAAGGTTGCCATTTGGTCTCCTTCAGCATTTGTGGTTGAAAATCTGAAGTAATTGAATTTTGGCTGAAGGTTTTTTTTTTAAATAAATGTTCTTCTCAATTCAAAAGGTAATGAGTTAGAAAGCGTTTCTAAAGTTCCACACATAATTGTCATCACTCATGCACCTGTCATGCACCTGGTAGAAGACTAGATTTTCCTAATTGTCCTTGTTGTCTTAAATAAAACACAGAGTAAGCATCACAGTGACAAAACCAGACATGAGACAGAGAAGTATACTCAGTTTACTCATTGTCTACAACTCTGTTTAACTTTAACTTTAACCAATAGTAGTGTGACAAGACCAGTATCATAATAACACTGTGAGCTAATATTACACCCTGTACAAGCTTATAAGCTATGTTTCACAATGATTAAACTGCAACACTTGTGCTGAGTTACACACTTAACAAGGCCAAAAAACAAACATAAGTATGTAAAAGTCAATTTATTGTATAGCAAAGAAAGTATAATAATACATAAAACATCTTAGTGGAACAAAAGTAGGGGGTTATATTGTAACTCTAGATGATAAACACATCTCTTAAGTTCATGTACACAGGACCTTAGTTCAGAATGAGTCGAATCTTTCTGTCTCCAAGCAGGAGTCTGCATAAACAGGAAAGAAGGTTACATAATTATCAATGCAATCAATCAAAATATGGTTTACAGGATCCTTTAAAGTGTACATTGTATGTTGTGTTGCACTTACCGAACCAGTGCAGCTGCTAGTAGGCCTCCTGCGATGGGTCCCACCCAGTAGACCCAGTGATAAGTCCAGTAGTTGCTGACGATGGCTGGACCGAAAGCTCTGGCTGGGTTCAGACAAGTGCCAGATACATCTCCACTGATAAAACCGATATAGGATATAGTCACATGAGTAATGTGTGAAAAATTATGATATTTATTGTATATTTTGAAAATGATGATGTTTATTGTACATTTTAGCTTATTTGCATCACAGCTACAGACACAGTCCTACGTCAGATACAGCTATAAAAATGGAAATTTGATATCTTAAAATCTTTCACTTTAACACTTACAGTATTAGTATATTACATCATACACATAAAGAAATGCTCCTCATACTCTTCCAAAATAAATGCAATTTACTTCTCATCTGTATTCTCCTCACTCATTTTTCTCACCCGGCCAAGATGTTGATGATCACTGTGCAGCCCACCATAAAAGGCACCAGGGGGCTTCTGGTCTTGGCATTGACAGCCCCCAGCAGCACCACCATGGTGACCAGGCAGGTCATGGCGACCTCTCCAAACAGAGCTCCTCCTATTTCACCGCCCGGTTGCAGCAGATCAAAAGCAGCCCCATGGGCTTTGGTGAAGTTCTCTCTCGATGTCATCGCCTGTTGGCATTAATTCAGCCATAATTCAGCTTCAGCTTCAGATGTAGAGAGTCTAAGATGGACATTTTAATGACATAAAAATGAGACAGGTTCACCTTTGCCATAGCAGCTCCAAGCACCCCTCCAACCAACTGACATGCAAGGTATGGGGCCACCATATTCATCTCCATCCCTCCACATAGATAGATGGCCAGAGTGAATGGGGGGTTGAAATGGGACCCACTGGTGAGGCAAAAAAGTGAGAAAACTTTAGAGTTTTAGGCCATGTTATGAACTTATAGAAGTATACAGAGTTCATAGTTTTGGGGCATTAAGATGGATGAAATAGTTAAACACAAATTGAATGAAAAAAGGCAATATGGATTATCAGATTTTGGGATCCTCTTCTAAATATAACTTTCAAGCCTTTCTAACCTAAATGATGTTATGTGATGTACAAAAGTATGTGAAAGAATAATACATTTTAAGGTGCACAGATGAGTAAATTTACCTAGAAAAACCAGACTTATAGTGCTCCATTTTGTAATATTTTAGACAATTAACTATGAAAAAGTGTTTCTGAAGAAAAAAGTTTTATATATTCATTATTGTCTGCCCAACACACACACAATAAACTCTGCATAATGTGTATAATCTATTTGTGTTTGAAAGAACATTGAAGATGATTCTCACCTGATCTCAGCCATGCATGCCACCATGATGGCCACAGCCAGACCGTGCACCAGAGCTGGCTGAAGCCTCCCTGCGGACTCCACATTCTCTATGACTGACACACACCCAATAAACACAAAGAATGTTGTTCCCACCAGCTCACCCAGACACGGCTGTATTAACCTCTCAAATCTGTTAGGAGGTCTGGCTGGAGGCATCTTAGCCTCTGAAGACATAAGAGTTGTCCCAATTTCCCCAATCTCCATCTTCTCATCGGCCATGAGTCTTCAGTGAGGTCTGGTTGTGAGAGCTGAAGATGTAATACTGAGTGCTCTGAACTCAAGTGTGCATACAAATATCTTTATGCCTGCTAATCACACGGACTTTGGTGTGTAAAGACGGAGTCTGGCAGAGTTGCCCCACTGATCTGTCATGGACCCACTGACCCTTTTTCTTATTAATCCAAGATAGTTTGTTCATCACATGTACTCTTATTACAAGAGGGCACTTGCAGAGGTAAATATTTCAAGCATTTGCTGACAAGTCGGTGAACTGTGCCATGTACTGTTTAAAAATCAACTAGTTTTTGTCAATGATTATTTTCTAATAACAAACATGTTTGCAGATGTTACTTTTCCATGGCAGGGTCAAAGCAGGACAAAGCAAAGTCTACGGCAAAGACTTCTTGCTAACTATGCAGTGAATTGAGTAAAACATGAAATAGGATCACTCTTATTTTGATGCAGATACACACAGATGGGACTTTAGTACTGTTAAAATCATAAAACATTAAGGGTGCAAACCAGAACACTTGCTAAATGTTTGCCCAAGAGCAAAGTCTGTACCTTGTTTATAATCTGGTTAAAAGATGGCTTACTATAAGTTAAATTGTATAATTTCATGATACAGCAGATTTCACTTGCTTACTAATTAATAAATTCCCACAAGACAATCACACATTGAATGAAAGAAAAAACACATTACAAAACACATACAGTACTGGGCTTTATCTGGTATATCTATTAGAAAAAAAAACTAATTTTGCTGTTATTGAAGGATGGTTTGTTTATATCGGTAAAATGTATGATAATAAAAATAATTGAAGAATTCCTTATGCACAGGGATAATTTTGCACAGTGGTTCTGTGTTGAGAAATTGAGATCCACCAGTAGGTGGAGATATCAAACAAAAAATCTGAATCAGGATCACTGAGAATCTTTTGGGCTGATATTTTCCAGTTTGGAGAGAGAATGTGATTTTAGGGCTTCACAGATCTCCAGTGGCATCAACTGGACATCCAAACATTACAGAGACAAGCAGAAAATCAGTAACATTGAATTATAAAAGCTTTTGATTACACCAGACACACAAACTATACCTACTAAAATCTACAGAAACTATAGTTTACAGACTTTCCTGCACTCTGACAGAAAGAGTAGAAGAGGCTCTCAAGAGCCACACTTGAAACTTTTTTTTTTATAACAGCCTGGATTTAAAAGTGCAAACTCTTTAACATTTCGAAGTTGCTTATTGTGACAAGACTTTGAAAGCAGCCTTGTACTAAGTACAATGTGACAGAAAGGTTTGATAGTCAAATGAGGAAAACAGGGACAAATTAAGTCAAATTTTATCACTACAGAAGAGAGTATCATTCTCTCTCAAAGCTGTTTTGTGTGGCTCACTTGACTTTATTTGCTGCTTGCAAATCACAAATGTGAATCCATGCCACTAGTTGTTCTTTAACGTCCACAGAACAGGGTTAAAGGACCTTGAACAAAGTGTCAGGAGTTCTCCACTTTACGCACATGAACAGACACTGCATGTTTCCTTCATTTATTGGGCTTATATAGTCCCTGTCAGTGACAAACAGAGTTCATGTAGGTCTCATAACATTGCTGCCGTTCAGATAGGATCCCCTTTGCAATCTATACATTATTGACCCTCATAATAGGCTGCATTAGGCAGATATGGCAGATATGGCAGTGTCTTTTGTCTAAAAAGGGAAGGTGGATTATCTTTAGCTACTATTACGTTGAATATCATAAAACAAAGCCCACTGAGGAAATTCGCTTTTACTGTAATGCAGTAAGACTGAGATAAAAATTCAACTCTCTTTATTGGATTTGTATGGCAGCACCAAATCTGTATCTGTGAACATGACAAGAGCTCAGTAGATAAAACCAAAACTATCTGATCTTCAGATACTGAAAATATGTTTCTGTTGTGCATTTTATTCTAATAATAAATTGATTGCATATTTTTTATAGGTATTTTCAGAGGGTATCCGTGTCATGACAGGGCAACAGCCACAAGGTGGCAGCAGATTACTGTGAGAACCAGAGTGCTCCAGTGTTTAATGATAGACTGATTGGAGATCAGGATACAAGGACACATTACCTGGGCTGTAACCACCTCTGAAGTGACCAAGACTGGCCCCGAATCAGTGGAGGAAATGAAATATAATGGCTTTCTGTCACCATTTGGAGGTGTTGATTGACGCTTATTGGTTCTGATCAGCATTGTAACCACTTGTTTTCTCTTTTTTTGTAACATAGGCTATATAGGCCTCATTAGTTCACCCATTAGTGACTTTTGCAGAACTTGTTTTTCCAATCCTGTTACTATGTTTATTGTTAGGTACCAAAATGCTAGCCTGCTTGGCAATAAACCTGTTTATCATAATTTAACCCAGTGGTCTTTTTTCTCTACAATCTATTATCTATAATCAAATAAAACGTAAAAATGTAACTGTGACTTTGTCATGACCATGACAGACCAATAGCTGAGTCAATGCTTTTTTCTTTTCTTTTCTTTTTTTTGCTAAGGTATCACATGTCACCATTGGGCCGTGCAGCACACAGTAGGGAAGTAAAGGCACTTCCTTCTTCCTACCACACTGGTTGCACTCTAACCAGTCATTTCAATAGGAAGTCTAATAATCGTGGCTATGGGGATCCAGAAGCTCGTCAGCGGCTGTTTCAACTGACTTCTCTGCTTTCTCTGCTTTCTCTCTCTCTCTCTCTCTCTCTCTCTTTCTCTCTGGCGTTCAAACAGCGGACGGCCAATGTCACCGAGTTTAATGTGGAAAACCACTGAGTTGTAGTGCGTTCAAGTGCTCGGAGCCCTTTCTGCCACAATGGCTGCGACGTAGCGCAACTTTTTGGGTCCACGGTGGATGAACGACCGCGCTCCGAAGGCGCCACAAACTTTTACCGACTTGCTGGAGACGCCGAGGAGGAGAAACCATGAAGAAACAGTTCAACCGCATGAAGCAGCTCGCCAACCAGACTGTCGGGAGGTGGGTGTTTATTTTAACAACATGCATTGTTGCAAACGTGGATGACATATATTTACATTGTGGCAGGGAACAACAGTGTTGCTGTTGCTTTTCTTGATTTGCCAATATTCAGTGTTGTCCTCGTTGTTATCTGTCGGAAGGGCTGGGCTGCTTTTTCTGCGTAATAAATACCTGGATGAAGTGTTGGTAAAGTTTACAGTTGAGTAATGTCAACAAGGAACTAACCCTCTATCTATATGTCACATAGGATTGGGTTTTTAATGGTTTTTAGACAATACAAGACGTTTTGAAAAGGTGTTTCAGATGTTGTTTAATTAAGTATGAAGCTTTTCTTCCCTTTAATATTCTCCTGCTGTGTCTGTGGTAGTAATAAGTGAGTGCCTTCATTAGATTTATGGCTGCAGCTAACACATATATTCATCATCGATTCATCTGTGAGATAACTTTTGATTCATCGAATAATCGAAACTTTAGTGCGAACAAGCTTTCATTTGAAAATCAATAAAATGTCAAATGAAAGTTGAAAAATGTCCATTACAATTTCAAATGTTTAAGGTGGTCTGGCTAACAGGCTATAAAACTCAAAGACATTCATTTTAAAATCATATAAAAGGGATCAAATAAGCAAATTCTCACAGTTTAGATGCTAGAACCAGCTAATATTTGGTATTTTTTGTTGTAAGATTAAAAATTGGTTATCAAAATAGTTACAGGTTCATTTCTTAGTTGGGTAGTTGATTAATGAACTCATTCTTCTAATTAATTTAATTAATGTCTATACCTCTGTGTACCTGAAAGGAGAAATTCTGGGCTTGCAGAACCCGTTTCCACTTTGGTAGTGGCTTGTGTAAACGACTTTACTGTGTAAGATCACATTCAGAGATACTGGTACTCGCACACACATTTCCTGATGTGTGGTGATACTACAGTTAGTACACACACACACACACAATATCTATACCATCTATTTCCCCTCCTCTCCCTTCATCTCCGTCCCCACGGGGGTTTCCAGCCCTGTTCTCCATCAGCAGCCCCTCCTGAGATGATGTCTCCAGTTATTACTGCATTAATGGTGTCTGCAGATGAAGCCTCTCGTAATGTCTCTCCAACCAAAAGCCTGTAGCCACTGGATTCCTCCCGTACATTCCTCCGTATGTTGTGTAAGAGCAGTAAAACTCAACTGTGCCCACTGACAGCTCCATTACTGAGAGGCAGAAGTGTTTGCAAGCACACACACCCACTGTGGATTAGTGCTGGATAGAGTCAGTAACACGTCAGGAAATATTTCGGTGCCATTTGTAGCACTACATGAAGTTGGAAGTTGAAATTTCTTTTACCCAATCTTCATTCGATCTAAACATCAGTTTAGGGCTGCGACTAATGATTAT